CAAGTACATATGTCTAACGAGAACCTAGTTCGTTAATCTACATTGACATCGAGTCACATTGGAGAAGATTCTTTTGATCAGAAGAGCATGGTTTGGATTGATAAAAAAATATTTGGAAGTCATTTGCAAATTTCATATTTTTTTGTTTGTTCATGTTTTAACAAAAGAAGTTGAAGAAGATACCAAAGGGTGACCAAAAAACAAAAATTGAAGAAAAACAACTATAATATCATGGAAAAAACGGACGACAATATAATCAAAGCCCTAAAAAACCTACACAGAAAACTGAAGATTAAGCAACACGAAACCGGGTCCACAAGAACCAGAAGTGAACTCCACCCGTCCAAGTTGCTCATGATGATAACTTAATCCACAATAAACAATTCATATGACAGCCTGAAAATTGTTTCTGTATGTTACCTTTATAACGCAATATTTAAAAAATGAAAATTAATGAATGGTATTTTTTACTTGGTCTTGGATTTTGTAAAAATTGCATATGAACATCTAATCATCTGTTTTCCTGGAAAGTTCTAAAATATTGATACAGAAAAATTGTAATTTCTAAATAGGATCAGTCGAAACATTTTATTGTTATAATTATATTGTATATAATAAATTCTGATGTAGTTTTCAAGTACTAAAAATTGTCCGTTCATGAGGGGAAAATGTTTCTTAAATAATCAATGCATATATAAGAGTTCTTAATTTATCTACATGGATGATATACTTAACTATTTTACCATTTATAGTTTTCTTTTTGGCGCCAGTGAAAGTATATAAGTAGCCATACCTGGCCCCTTGGTTTGTGCTAATTTGTACTAAAAGTTTATACTAAATTATTGCTTCCTGTATCTAGATACAACGCAGTACAATTATTTTTCGGAAACAGAAATTAAATTCATACAAACAATCACGAATATGTGTGACCTGCCTTGACATTTCCAGACTTATGGAGGTATAACGGTATTGCCATTAGCTACATAAATGTTACTCAAATTTTGTATTGGGATATAAGCTTGTGTTTCTATACCGAATTGAGAGTCTGGGTGTTTATTAACATTAAATATGTTTTTTATATCTCCCGCTCATAATTAGAGTAAATCATATTTGGCAACTTAAAATAAGGGCATATTTTGTATATCAAATTTATGCATGCCTAAAAATGGACATATTAGTATAGTACTTTTTTCTCCTTTTTCCCTTGCATTAATGTATTGTAAATCCAGTTTTCCTATCATAAGTTTTAAATTACAACCAAAGTTTCCATTAAGTCAATTTCTTTTCAATTCTGTTCTTACTATTTGTATCATCCATTTTCTTCAACGATTTTGATTATTCACCATTCGTGTGATAATTATCGCTGGCGGTTAAATGTATAGATTGATAGAGAATGAAAATCAAATTAAGTCTTTTTTTTAAATTTAACAAGATAATATATTGGTATGCTTTCTCTACTTTAATCATGTGTAACTTTTGATCTTTGTTCTTGATATAAATTGGTGTATGTGAACAATTGATGTACAATAAAAATGCATAATTTGTATCTGTTTACATATTGTACGGTAAAATCATGGACAGTTTTGCATCGGCTATCCACTCATAAGTTGGTATATATAAGTTCATCAACTTCAGATCAGCAATAACCTTTATCAGGTGTGCTATAGACCAAACGTTTGAAAATCAAATGTATAAAACATATACAAAAAATAAGAACAATGAGTTCTTTGACGAACATTCCTGCGAGAAATGTCTACACAGAGAACATTGAATATATTTACTTGCTGTACGGGACATATGTCTTTGCTGCTCTCATTGTGTTAATGAACCTATTGATTGCTGTAAAGTCAGTTACATTTGAGGAAGAACAGGTGAGTGAACCAAACGCGCATTTTGACAATAAATGTCTCTGATTGATGCTCGAGGCCAATATATTTGAAAATCCAAAAAATATTAAAAAGATGAAGAGTTATAAATCAAAAAGGACAAAGAGTAGAGCCAAAGCAGGACAATGAACCAGAGCTTTGCATGAGGGAGATATAGTCCTTGATTTGAAATAATTTCCAAAATTTTGTAACTTCAAATTTTAACAACACAAAATCCGTATTTTCATGCCAGTACCGAAGTACTTTCCATTGGGCTGATGATACCCTTGGAGACTAACAGTCCACCTGCAGAGGCATCGACCCAGTGGTAGTACATTAACGATAACAAATTTTCTGCACCAGATGCACATTTTGACAATAAATTATCTTCCGTGATGCTCGACACCAAAATATTTGAAAATCCAAGGCTTATTAAAAAGATGAAGAGTAATAAAGCAAAAAGGGCAAGAAGTGTATTGCCAAAGCCGGACAATGAATCAGATGTTTGCATTAGGGAGATATATTCCTTATTTCAAAATAATTATTTCCCTGTAACAGCAAATTTTTGATAACACAAAATCCATATTTTCATGCCAGTACCGAAGTACTAATTACTAGGATTCGAAACATGTAAACATCAACTTAACAGAACAACAAAATTAAATTAACAGATTTTTGTTTACCATAGAAAGTTGCAGCTAAAGTTTTATGCGCAGTACATTGTGTATTTATCAACAATTATTATCTAAATTTGTGGTTATTCTATATACCAAAAAGCTTAATAAACCAAATACATAATGTCTAGGGTCCACTTTAGGAGTTTGAACTGTTATAGGTTTTAAGCATGGCAATATGGTTAAACACTGAAAATTTAGTCCTTTGGATTTCGGTTGTAAAAGTAATTTGCACCTGTTCTTTATTTTTCTGCTAAAGAGAATACACCAAAGTGGAATTTATCGAATTATATCTTTTTTATTTTCGTGCATGTTGTATTTGCTCAGCTTTAGAATTGTTTATATAAGACGTTGAAACTCGATAAAAGATATTTACATTTCAAATATAATAACTTTGCAGAGAATTTTGTACAATAACATGTTTGAATCTGAATAGAATGTCAAGATCAGAAGACTTTATCTGAAACGAGAAAGAAATTAAGGGAAAAAAAGTTTTCGAAAAATGCATATCATTACAAACAGGTCTGATACAGTAGCTAGTTCCTTTGTCCATGTGTTATATGATGTCTTCAAATAAGATTTTCTACACGGGTATTTTTTTCTTACTTTGGCATTAGAAACCACGCTGGAAATACAGTTTCATATGTTTTTGTTATGAACACCTTTACATAACATGTATTTGCCGTTTTCTTTCAATAAAATTGATTTCTGTATATATGGATAAAGTTATACCTCAGTGAAAGGACAACCGAACGTTAAAACCGAACAGCATGAATAACCGAGAAGACACTTAAAGGGCACTACACAGTCTTCAACAATAAACATATGTTTATACAAATATGTTAATACGCTGTGTATATTGATACTCTTTGACAGTCTAGTACATAGTTTGGGAATTTGTATGGATGTTGATCTAGGCCTTTAGGGGGAGAAAAACTATTGTATGTGAATATCTTTAGCAGGATCTCTCGGAAAAGAGAATAAATTTTTAAAAAATTACTAAATATTGAGCATAGCCCACAAAATGTTCACTACTCTCCCAAATATAATAATGTTTCATTTAGAATTAATCACTTGATATAACTTGTCAACATATTTAGTAGGAGTTACACGACATGTGTCACATGTTGAGCAGGATCTGCTAACCCCTACAGAGCATCTGCAGGATACAATCTCCTCTTTTCAAATATGGTAAAGTGAACGTTTTATAAAAAGAAGATGACATCCAATGACAGACGATGCTTATGTACACTGAACAATATATGCAAAAAAGAAGTCCAAAAACATTCGTTGAAAGAAATGAATAGAAGATGCTTATGTACACTGAACTTTCTATGATAACTTATTTAGATTCAATCCGCGTTACAATTAAGCAAACAATTATATATCATAGCTATTAACCCAATACATAAGTTGTATCAAAATATACTTCTATGACAGAACATGTGATACGTTCTCATCGGAATTAAATATATTGTATAAATTTATACTTCAATTCTATGATTTTCTATAACATGATTCTCTTTGGGACAGGCAAGACGGTAACATGATAAAGAAAGTTTATTCAAGATTAAGACTATTGTTTCGCAAATTGTCTTTCAAAAGGGAAGGTATCGATATCATAAATATGTGATGAAAATCTTGATAGGTTCTCGATGTGTTTGGCATACTGATTTGCATTTTGATTACAAAGTGTTTTTAAAATGAAGAAATCAAGCTATATTGAATTGAAATATGTTGAGAGTTATAGGAAACCACTCAAGGGAAAATAAAAACTCACCAGTGCTGATTATTGTGCAGTTCTATAGACAGGATTCCTCTTAGTGGTTTTTTTTTTTGGTTTATGACGCCTTGACTTAAATAGTCAAAACTTCGACTTTGATGGTCTTAAATAATATATTTATTTTAAGGGGTTGGAAACCTCAAAACCTTCTTGGCTACGGGTTTGCTGTGTCTTATTTTGAATACTAGTACATAAGGAAAGCTCAAAGCCAATATCCTTCTGGCAATTACTTATAAATATAAACATATGAATTCCTCAAACAATAAAAGGTCGAAAATAGTAGTCAAAGTCGTTAACTTTACCTTATGGTGGCACAAATTGGACAAATGGACAATTGAACAACATATATAAAACAAATCATGTCAAATGCTAAAATACTGACTACAAGGTAGAACATTTTTTAGTTATGAATTAAATCAAAACGTAATTTTTCTGCGTTCGATCGATGATTCTCTGTATGCTTGCCTTCATCAAATATATGCGTTTATTAAGAGTAGTATTAAGGTAATAGATACAAGCAATGTGATAAATGAAATCAAGAGTTTGACCCTTGTAAACTGTACAGTTTCATAAAGTTCATGAAATGGAAAGGTTTTAAAATATATAACCAAATGATATCCATCGCCAATGATAATAACATAACATGATGTTACGCCACTATATAATGATGTTTTCAGATTAGAGATTTTTATCTATCTTTATTTAAAAAAAAACAATAACAATATGAATATTGTATCAGCATTGTGCTTGATCTTCAAATTGACTCATACAACTTCCTTGTGCACGTCTTAAACTTATCTAAAACTATAACTGTCATATTGTTACCAATCTTTGTAGCTAAATCGATACTTCATCAAAATTTATTGCTACAACAACCGTAAAAAGTCAATTATGGTATATATCACATTAACATCCTTCCTGTATCATTTGAGTGTAGTTTTTGGTACAAATTCTGTCATTAGCTTGGCTAACATTTCATCATTTATTCTTTCTGCCTCTGTCATTTTCCCTAGAGCTACCAATCGAAGCTTTTCGTCTTTCATCTCGTTAATTTCTTCAAGTTTTCGTTCATAAAACATTGTATTCTCTTCCCAGTTCTTATGCATTAACTTTTTGTAATTCTCCTGCGCATCAATTAACTAGTAAAACAGAAAAAGAGAAAGTCAAACAAATTGAAAAGTATCATGAACAAATTATTCCAATATAAGTGACAGAGGTTTTATTAATAGTGGCTAGAAATAAGGTAAAACAAATATTACATTTCATCATACAGATGATGAATTAAATTAGCTTCGCAAAATTAATTCGAATTTTTATGGAGTTTATAAGGCTAATATACAACCAAAAATATATGATTGCCAAACAGACAACACTCAACCAGAGACCAAATAACACAGAAAGTAAGCAACTATAGGTCACCGTACGACCTTCAATAATAAGCAAATCCCATATCGCATAGCAAGCCATAAAAGGTCCTGAAATGACAAATGTAAATTTAAACAATTCCAACGGTAAAATAACGGCCTCATTTATGTACAAAACAATAAACGAAAAACATGTATGACATACAGCAACAAATGACAACCACTGAATTGCAGGCTTCTGACATGAGACAGATTGATATTTGGTCCTTATCTCTTTTGTTTAAGACAAATCAGAAACTATCAGATTTCTTTTCGAATGAAAATTTGAAAACCATTTGACTTAATGTCTGTCGCTAGTCGTCCGAACAAATAGAAAAATTCTGACATCATTATGATACACAGAGAACCGCTACACATCATTTCAATAACTGGAAAAACAATTGAGAACTTACTAGAACAATAGAATTTGATAACTTTATCACGATAGTAAACCGTATCTAAAGGCGTGTGTATTACTAATTATAGTTACTTATACGGAGTTATTTTGTCTGCTGGTCAGTGTTATTTATTTCAAGCTTATTTTTAACAAATAAGTTCAAACTCTATTGTTTGACAGGTTATAGATTAGAAAAATAGTTTTGTTATTATTGATTACAAGTAATATGTCATCTGCTGAAATTGTCTCATAAATCACTGACAAAATGTAGCTTGAAACGTCTACAACTGTTCATATTTCCTTAAAGGGTTCTATTGATATGTAAATCAATAAGCATGTTCTCACATAAGTTCAATTAGTGTTATATATTTACCAAAGAAACAACGAGGAAAAACAAAATGAATTGCTCTATAGGGGATATATCTATTACGAAATTTATTTACTTGTACATAAAATAACTTTCTTAAAAGAGTTACTTAACTTTCTTTCTAATCAAATGAAATAAATCTTGGAAGGCAAATGGAAACGCATGCTTAGAAGCAAAATAAATTGTCGAGGAGTTTTATACAATATGTTATAAATCTCTATTTCCATAATCGGACAAGAGGAATAATACTTTTTAATCATGCTAGGTTGTAATACAGTAGGAATCAGTGAAATTATTCCATTAGTTTTATGCCTCTTTTCAAGGTTTATCCGAACATAAAACAAATGTTTTGGCTCTTATATTAATAGTTTTAATGACCTGTATTGTCCACAGATAACAGTATTTAAGCAATGAAACTCAGTTATGTGAGTACTTAATGCAATACATTACTTGTATTTGTTTGTTTGACTCTTATACGGTTTTCCTTTATTTTCAAGAATTCAATTACTATGGAATGTTGCAGACGTGATAAGTCGACTTTGGTCGCTAAGAATTGGTGATTTATTTTATCGGTTAAAAGAAGTTGCCATGAGAGTACCTAGTGCGAATGTCCAAACTAAGAAATATACAAATATAGTTTCCTAAAGATAGATTTATCCAACAACACCCACATCATCAGACAAGTTCTACAAAACTCCTGTTTGAGTACTTAAACGTCATGTATGCTACAACAATAAAGAAAACAAAATAAGGCAGACGCCAAACAACGACAATCATCGAATTAAATAAAAACAAAGACTATCAAACATCATTAATCAACTCAAAACAGAAACAGTTCCAAACTACAAGATAATCTATTATTCTCTAGGTACCTATTTATCTTTTGCTAAAATGTGTTATGGCTAAAAGTGAAGAGAATTTTGTAACCTATAAAACGTCCAACAATTATTACCAGTTAAACTTTTTTCATTGCATGTGCAAAAAGAAATTGCAGTTTTATTACTTCGAAACTGCAGCCTCGAGATAATTCTCTGACGTCAAAAGTAAATTCTCGAACGTTTAAAGAAATTCATTACGTTATTGGTCTAACCTTATAGCAGCCCATTTACAAAGGCGTAAATTCGAACAACAGTCATATCTTGATCTGCCATTTGTTTATATATATAACATTATATATATTGTTTTGTACACTTTTATAGGTGTATATATTATTTTTCTATTGTGTACTGTACCGTTTTGTTTTTCATAACGATCCAGCGCCCTCTTAAGAAATTCGTTGACTAATATCTAGACGTTAAATATATATATATATATATATATATATATATATATATATATGATATGACTCAATCCTAAATTGAGTGTGTGTGTGACAACTTTACGACAGACGTTCTCCTTCGGATTACCTGCATGGTAAGAAAAATAATAATCCTTTACAACAGACAAAACAGCTGATCTGCAAGCTTAAGGTATACTATTTACTTGCCACCGTACATCATTTACTGTGTTACAACCCTAGATAAAGCCGACGAGGAAAGGCATTACTCGACTAATGAAAGCTATGATTTATATACTAGTAGTCCAGTTGGTCAAGTGGTCTAGGGCGCTGGACACAGTTTAGGCGGTGTCGCCACGATGTCTCAGACGCAGGGGTTCGAATCCCGCTGATGGAAGAACAAATCTTTGCGTTAGCAGATCTAATATTGTTGGGCTAAATTTGAGACGAAGTATATATATATATATTACAGTGAATTTGTATAATCAGGGATTATGTAGAATCCCTGATTTTTCAGGGAATTTGCGTAATCACTAGGATGATTAGTATATAATCTGTATAAATGACCAGGGATTTTACATAATCACTGAAAATTCTCTACAAATTCCCTAATATTATTGGATTATCTATAACACAAATATCCTTTGTTTGAAAAGAATAAATCAAATATAGACAAATAAATCATCTGCATTTCTTACCCTTTTGAGGTTTAAGTGAACAGTGTCCATTTATCAAATCAAAAGTGAACAGTTTTCCCAGTGATATGCTATTTAACTGTGTTGAACCACATTAAATAATAAATAAAAAAGGTATTTAGAATTGAAATTAAAATACCAGAGTTGTTAATGATAGTGATAACTTCACATGCATGCAATGAATTGTATTGTTTTGGAATAAAACAGCGTCAAATGCACATCCATGTCCTGAATGTAAATGCACAATGCACTTAATCATTTTGCTGTAACAAAAATGGCAATGAATGTTATTGAATATTTGTTTTATGTTTTCTGTTGACAGTTGTTGTCCATTCGTTTGATGTGTTTTGTCATTTGATTTTGCCATGTGATTAGGGACTTTCCGGTTGAATTTTCCTCGGAGTTCAGTATTTTTGTGATTTTACTTTTTTCTATGTTCCAGTGAACAAGGAATTAAAACAAAGCAAACAACTGCAAGCAACTAATCTTACAGAAAAACAAATAGAACGTATGATTGACAGGTTTAATTTTAATGGAGACAAATATTGGCTGTAATGTTTTGATACAGATTCTGCATGTTGATCGCAGCAAGAGAGACCCACACATATTCTGGCCATTGTTCATGAACGGACTGAAAAGGATATGGCATAGATACGAAACAGACTTTTGCTCGGATCCTACCAAACAAATTATTTTAAAGTCTAAATCACTTTTTTGGCACCTTTTAATGATTGACTTTCTCTTCAGTATTCAATAAAATCAGATTCAATATGTGAAGGACAATGTTTTTTCAACAAGTAGATGTTGCAAAAAACACACAAAATAACCTACAAATATCAGAGCATGGAAAAACTTGATTGGTCAATCTGCAATAGTAGATGTTATCCAAATTCACAATGTAGTTTGTGACAATAAATGATTTGTATTAGAGTATTGTGCTTAACATTTTAATATTAAATATTTATGTATATAAAGATTATTAAATATGATTTCATAGAATAAGTTATATTGTCTTATCTTTCCAGTTATTATGTTTAATCCCTGGCATTTTTTCTAGTGATTATACATAATCCCTAAAAATTGAAGGATTATACATAATCCCTAATTATACAAATTTACTGTAACATATATAAAGGTTCTACCATTGCATCGAGTATGATACGATATTTCTCCACTCGAGACAGAAAAATTTTCAAATTTAAATGCCGAGATTGGAAATATTCGTATTGCACCAGATTTGGTGGTAGAGTCTGCTTCTCTAATGATTTTAGACGATATGGAGATAAAATTGAGGCTTCTTTTCCAATGATCTGCAAAAAGATGTATTCTTCATGTGAAACGTCATTAATAATGGTAGCTTTTTTTCGTGACGTCACAATAGAAAATTCTGAAGAAAGCAAGAAAATTTGACGTCATAATTGAATTTCGACCAATAAAGAACTGAGATTAAACGACCCACACGTTGATAAAATAAAATTAATCAACAGATCAGGAAAAGGATAAATCGGCTATGAATAAGAGAAATATATATATATATATAACGTCTAGATATTAGTCAACGATCTTTCATACATGGGCGCTGGATCGTTACGAGTAACGATACCTGTACAAAATAAAAAAAATATATAAACGCCTAAAAAGTGTACAAAGCAACACCAATATTCAAAAAAAGGAACATTAAATGTAAGTATCTATAAATATTTCGGATAACAGATATCTTTCATCAGTATGATTATGATGTAAAATGAATCATATCAATCTTTTCTGATTCAACTATAACAATCTTTAAATATATACTATTAAAACCGAACAACGCTTGTGCAATTCTAAAATTTAAAAAAATGAAGTAGGTTAGGTATTTACAACAGAGACTGCATAGATATGCTTCTAACACAAATAGTAATGTGGGATATGAACTGGTACATTTCTAAAATTACACTGGTGACGAAAGTTGAGTTATTTCACCAAAGACTGCGTAGAAATACATTCCCAATGAATAACACTGACCGATTTGAGCTGGTATAATACTCAAATTTCAAATTTGACTAAGGTAAAGTACTAAAAAAAGTACTTACAACAGAGGCTGCGTATTTACATATCCCAAATAAATAGCAGTTTGATAATTTTATAAATTTCTAATTTTGTCAAAGGTTAAGTAATTGGCCGTGGCTGCGTATTTATGCATCCCAAATGAAGAGCACCCTGCGATTTAAACTGATATAATTCTAGAATTTCAGAGTTGAAAAAGGTAAAGGAATAGCAACAGAGACTGCGTAGTAATATGTAATACATCCCAAAATGAAAAGCACTGCGCGAATTAGAACTACACTTTTTCATTGAGAAACGCATGAAAAATCAAAGCCGGGGCGTTTCTTTCTTCTGCCCAAAATACACAAAGTCAATAATCCAGGTAGACCAATTGTTTCTGCCATTGACCACGCTACAGAGAAAATATCAGTATTTATTGACTTTCATTTAAGACCACATGTAGAAAATATACCATCCTATATACAAGATACAACACGCTATCTTAAGAAAATGGAATCATTGAACCCTCTCCCACCTGAAACAATCCTTGTCTCGCTTGATGTTACCTCTCTCTATACTAACATCCCGCATGACGATGTAGGGAAGTCTGGAACTCTCGCAACACTTACACCCACCAACTGAATGTCTAGTTCAGCTTCTTACTTTGGTATTGAAATGCAATAACTTCACATTCAATGGTGAACACTTTCGCAAGGTTAATGGAACAGCAATGGGAAAAAAGATGGCCCAGTCTTATGCCAATATTTTTATGGGCAAATTAGAAAAGCAAATTCTCAATTCTTCTCTTTATCAACCTCTCTCTTGGTTCCGATTCATCGACGAAATTGACATAAAGTTGGATAATACTGAACAAAAACTCAATGTCTTCATTCAACATGCCAACGATGCCCATCCCTCAATAAAATTCACTTATGAAATCTCTGACTCTAAGATCACATTTCGTGACACTGCTACGCAAGTGAGGGATGGAATCATATTTACAGATCTGTATTGCAAGCCTACAAACAAACATCAATATCTTTCTCCTTTGAGTTTTCATCCTAAACATTGCACCAAGAGCATTCCCTACAGCCAGGCCATACAAATAAAACGGATTTGCTCCATCAATGATACTACAAAAAGGCGACTACAAGAACTTCGCGGTCACCTAAAAAATCGGGGCTACAGAAAAAAAGACATTGATAAAGGTTTTTCTTGTGCCAACAACATCAGCCGAGATGAACTTTTACAATATAAAGACAAAAAGGTCAACAAAAGAGTGCCGTTTGTGCTGACTCACCATCCCAAATTTGACAAGTTATCACACCTTATCCCCGAAAATTGGAATGAAATTGAAAACATCTTAAACTATCCAAGATCTTTCCCGTGCCATCTGTACTGGCTTTCTGTAGGGCCAAAAGCCTAAAAGACTTGCTGGTGATAGCTGATTTATCGTCTAAATCAGGCTCTTCGTCTGTGGGTTCTTGCAAGGGATGCGCGGAAACAAACGATGTCTTACTTGCAAGCAAATACTGAATACCCAGACTTTTAACAGTCACTCCACTGGTACGGAATACACCATATTTTGCAATGTTAATTGCAAAACTACAAATGCTGTGTATCTTCTACAGTGTAAATGTGGTAAACAGTATGTTGGCGAGTCAGAACAAACGTATGAACGGCCATCGTAGCGACTATGAATGCAAGCAAGACCTTCCTCTCAGTCGTAATTTGAGATTGCCTGGCCACACTAAGGCAGATTTCAATCGACTGACCATTACAATCATAGACCACAACACTGCTTGGTCTAGAGAGGATAGCCTCACTCGGGAAAGATTTTAGATAAGAAAATTAAAAACTTCGGCACTAAATGGGATCAATGAAAAAGTGTAGTTTTAATTCGCGCAGTGCTTTTCATTTTGGGTTATATTACATATGATTACTACACAGTCTCTGTTGCTAATCTTTTACTTTTGTCAACTCTGAAATTCTAGAATTATATCAGTTTTAATTGCAGGGTGCTATTCATTTGGGATGTATAAATACGCAGCCACGGTCAATTACTTAACCTTTGACAAAATTAGAAATTTATAAAATTATCAAACTGCTATTTATTTGGGATATGAAAATACGCAGCCTCTGTTGTAAGTACTTTTTTTAGTACTTTACCTTAGTCAAATTTGAAATCTGAGTATTATACCAGCTCAAATCGGTCAGTGTTATTCATTGGGAATGTATTTCTACGCAGTCTTTGGTGTAATAACTCAACTTTCGTCACCTGTGTAATTTTAGAAATGTACCAGTTCATATCCCACATAACTATTTGTGTTAGAAGCATATCTATGCAGTCTCTGTTGTAAATACCTAACCTACGTCATTTTTTTAAATTTTAAAAGAATTATAAAAGCGTTGTTCGGTTTTAATTGTATCAATTTAAAGATTGTTATAGTTAAATCAGAAAAGATTGATATGATTTATTTTACATCATAACCATACTGATGAAGGATATCTGTTATCCGAAATATTTATAGATACATATATTTACATTAAATGTTTCCTTTTTTTAATATTGTTGTTGTTTTGTACACTTTTTAGGCGTTTATATACAGTTTTAATCCATCATTTTTTTCAGAAGTCAGTAGTAGGACAGTTGTACAGTTTTCCATCCGTTCCGTTGGTCAACAAAGTCTAACGTTCGATATTGTCTGTTTTTATGGACTTCCTCTTTTTGAATTCCATAGGAGATCGGTATTTTTGTTATACTTTTTATATCAAATAAAATATTACTATTTAATACAAAATTTTCGGGAGAAAAATGTTTTTGTTTTACAGATTATAACCTACCTTTTCTGTAAGACCCATATCAGTTTTTTGTAAGGAGAAGATTTCATTGGATCCTTTATACACATCACTGATTCTGTTATCAACTGTATTTAATCGGTTTTCAATGTCGTCAAGTCGACTTTCAATTTTTGATGCAACAAGCTCTATTAATCGTCTTAATTTGTCTTCCGTTGCGTCTACAAGAATAAATATCAATGGGAAAAAGATTAAAAAAAAAACAAAACAAAACCAACAATCAGGTAGTTAGCCGAGTTGGTTAGGAGGGAGTAGGTAGAACGGGTTGAGATTTTGATTTTTGTTTGTAAGTCTGTAATTAAAAAAAACTTTACTGGTTTTTTTTTCATTACACAAAAGGACATAAATCAGCATTTAAACGTTATTTTCCTCGTTTGAAATGTTTCAGATTTTGTCATGTCGGGGTCATTTTATACCCGACTATACAATATGAGGTTTACTCTTTGTCGAAGGCTGTACGGTATACTAAAATTGATTATATTTACGTCACTTTTAGACTATGTTGGATAGCTGTCTCATAGGCAATCATACCACATCTTATTTTTATATTGTCGATGGATATTTAACGATCCAAGAAGTAAGTCTTAATGAGACAAATCAACACTTTCTTTCATATAATACTTATAGAGCTAGAGTATCCTGATAGTCAGTGGGAATACTTTTCTCTCTCTTGGAATGTAAACAAATGTATATAAAATAGATTTTTTGTTTTGAAAATCGTTTAACTTTTGTTCCATTTAATTTAAAACAATTTACGTTGCATTGATTTTATAAAAAAAAACACATGTTGAACAGTTAGTCACCTATAACCCATTCAGTTGTTTACTTTAATATATATAGAGAAAACTAAAACATCGATATAGTTAATACAAATAGATTAGTGGAATTGATATATGAAAAACTGTTCCTATAGTACTAAAGTTCGTATTGGACGGGTTTCAAAAGTTAATTGCAGAAAATTGTTAAAAGTTATTTTTGGGGAAACAAATAAGATGATATGTTGAGTACAAGTCGATAAGACATCGACCAATCAAGGCGTTACGTCAATGTCTGGATAACATGTATGTCATTCAATTTAAAATCGAAGTTTCGATCAAAATTGAAATGTTTTTATCAAAAATTTAATATGGCCTGATGTCCTTGGTCAGCTGAATTGACCTTCTCAACGCATCTTGTCAATGCAGCAGATATCTCCTTAAAATGGTATCTACGGAAACCGTTAGTAATACTACGAGATTATACAGAAAAGCAATTCCCTTTTCCAATTAACGAAACTGTGTAACTGATTTCACAAATTAATGTAGCTTTTAGCTTGCTTTTTTTTAAAGAGAAGACTAGCCGTCTGATTTCATTACATATAAAGGGCAAATCATCTCACACAGTATTGTGGAATTAATTATAATACCACCAAGTTAATAAGTACAATTCATGGTGAGTTTTAGTACAATCTTATTACGAATAAATACCATCGTCTTCTTCGACCTTTTCTCGCTCTGCGTGCAGTATATATCTCCTCACCAACGAACAAATCACAACCTATCATAAATGAAGTAGATTCTCAGCAATGATTTTGACAGTATCGCTTTAATTAAATTTGTAATAAGGCGAAACAAATGTACTTGTTTCCTGCCTCCTGACAGAAAGGACTAGGGTAGGTTGTAAAGTAATTGTGTTTTTTTTTAATAATTAACATAGACGATAAAGGGAAATGATTGGGACACAATCGGTGATTACCAAAAATGTTTGGACATTAAATAACGGTGCTTAACTTTACATGTGCATATAATATATAAGGTGGTTATACAAATTCAGGGTAGGTAGGGAGGCAGGAATTTTTTTTACCTAATCAACAAAAACAAACAATTTAACATCAGACTACATGGATTTTATTGCACCACAATCAAGTATAAGTCAATGTGGTTTTGGGTCAAACAAGGAGGCAATATTGATAATGTTGGGAACACAGTGAAATGTGACATTGACGTATCGTAGGAGGGGACTGAAAAGTGAAAATTCTTTATGAAATTTTACATTATTAGACATCCTGAACTAACATGAAAAACATTTACCAGACAGATGATACAGTAATTTACTTTTGTAATACCTTTATCTCAGTTTACATGTAATGGCCTTCCTTAATATTGATATATATTTCAAATCTATCAAAATCTATCAAAATTGTACAAAAAAGTAGCTTCATCATTTATATTTTGCTATTTCACAGGCATTTTTTATTTTTATTATTTGTTACTTAACGAAATATATTAATTATAGCGATACAAGAATTCCAAGTACACCAATAAAACTATGGATTCTGTGGTTTTGTCAAGATGAATTAGTTCCTATCATTCTATTTCGTGATACAGAAAAATATAATGGAACCATTTTCATTGGTAAAACCAGGAAGCGTCATATAATGCATCAAAACGAATCAAGTGATTATTTTTCTTGTCTATTTCTTGAACGTGTTATGTTTGTCTAATATATTCTTTTGGTCTTGCATGTTTTTCTTCATTTTTGATACGGTTACGTTTGTTATCTTTTGTAATACTTTGAAAATAAACATGTAACAGGCATAAATCAGTTTTGCTGTTGTATTATGGCTACGACTTATCTTCGTTTGGGATTAGAAACATTATCCTGTGCGAACCCGTTCTAGAAATAATGAAGCGCCAACACTATAAACAGATTCTTTGAGTTATTCAAATAAGAATGTTTACCTTCCGAACATTGCATGGATCATCTGTTTTCTGGAAAAAAGGAAAATTGATTATATATTAATATTAGTTCAAAGAGATATGGGATTATGTCAATTAAACAGCCAAGCAAACGACATAAAAATACATCTACAGGTCAAAATACGGTCACTTGCATACACTTATAACGTCACTACAGCGGGGAAAAGTGAACATAGAAGTATGGGATACACAGAATATAAGTACTATATTTGACAACAAATAATGAAGCCACAAGTTTTGAAGATCGGCTCAAAGCACCTTTGTATTTAAAGAAAAGGCGATATCAAAGTCTCAGTTCAATCAATGGATACCCGCAACTTTTAATGAGCTTTAAATATTAGGATTCACAAGATTTAAGTCTCGAGCTTAACAGATGATGGTAATGGTGTTATTGAAAACTAAGCTTAATCCTTTCTTATGTACAGCTGCCTGTTTTGGTTATAAAAAGTTTGGTTCCGAGCTTATCTAATAAAGTTTATTTGAGAAACACTTGCAGACAGACCTCGATATAAAATGTTTACAATGATTAATAAATATGTATGTGAAAGTTTAAGACCATACAGATACATAATATTGTTGTATAAATACGTTATTTACAAGAGTAATTAAGATGAAGACGTTTCTAATTTAAATTGAGTATGTATGAGCAAAACATCAGTAACGTCAATATAGTATATATGATCTCCGATCTTTGATTAACGAGGTTTGAACATCAGTAATCTATTTTACCTCTACCTTGACATCTTAAATCATTAAAGTATGTAAAATGTGAAATAAAGGAAGGGTCTTTGCATGACACTGAGGTATGATTAATTGTTTGATTGTTGTTGTTAAACGCAACTTTCAGCACTGTTTGCTACAAGCATAGATAGTGGCGGTCTGTTTGTATTTTGGTTGCGAAAGGAGAAAGCCGGAATGCTCAGAATGAACCACCCACCTTCGGCTGGAAAACTGACAATCCTAGTAAATTAAGATTGGTGTTGAACGCACCTGAGACTTGCGGGGTTCGAACGTACAACATCAGTGTTGACAGGCTAGTGATACGGTAGATATACTACTTATACAACTCGGCCTTCGAAGTCCTCATTGATTTATTAGTTTAGAACATCATTAATCTAATTTTACCTCTACCTTGACATGTTAATTTATCAAAGTATGTAAATGGTGAACCCTAGGACGGACCTCGACAAAATGTATAGCCTTGTCATTTAACCTTAATAAGTTATGTGAACTAAATGACGGACCATGATCAATATCATGGCCATAATATATTACCTTATAACAATATGTGAGCTAGAGGACGGAACACATACAAAGGGTCAATAAAGCATTTTAACTAGATAGTCGACCTTGAAAAAGTTTATTTTCTTTTCATAATGGAGAACAAAATATCGTATGATAAAAAGTAGTCGTTAGTCATGAAAATTTCAGTAAAACTTACGATCAATTTCAGTCGTAAGATTTTTTTGCTAAAAGAGCCATTGTATCTACAGGAAGTGTGTGAAGTGGAGGACATATATACAAATTTGTACGTGTAATGATTGATGATATATAACCTTTTTGAACATACTGGTTCTTTTAAGCTCAGATTTACATCCAGATTTGCAAATACAATTCTTCATACAACTAACTACTTTCATAATGCTTTTTGGAGTTGGGATAATATTGAAAGGTGGAGCCACTGGACATCCGGGTTCTATAAATGAAAGCCAAAGCTCTGTTCTCATAAATTTCCATTCCACATCTCTTTTATCCTGTAAAATAAGCATGAAAACATTAAGTGATTATGTCTTATGATGAGGAAGGGTTTGATATGTACAAAAAGTATTGACAAAATTTCAGCAAGCAATTTATGTTTCAGTATTCAAATGTACCATAAAAACTTGATTATTTTTCTACAAACTTAAACAAGATAGAAATTATTTAATGATTTTCATTTATTTTAGAATAAGTTTTTGTTCGTGACATTTATTGAAAAAGGAAAGCTATCTAAAATATTTGAATATATGGCACTCACCTGTACTTCCTCAAATGTAACTGACATTACAGCAATCAACAGGTTCATTAGGACAATCAGAGCAGCAAAGACATATGTCCCGTACAGCAAGTATCCGAGATTTTCTGTGTAGACGTTCCTCGCAGGATTGTTCGTCAAAGAACTCATTGGTGCATCCGTGTTCAGCTCCGGTGCTTCTCCTGGTCCAAATCCGAACAGAGACCATACCAACATAAATAAAGTCGCCCTGAAACTATATTATTGTACATAATGAATTTTATTTTTTTAATATAGAAGATGACATGCAAGTCATTTTGATAGTTGTCTCATTGGCACATCATCTCCTTATTTTTATATGGAACTTGATGATGCTTTAAAAGAACAACATGAGACATGACTTATTGTAATGCGAATTTAATTTTTTTTTAACTTTAAGAAAGATAAAAATCGATAATATTATTTTGTTGAAAAACATAATCGTATATTGAAGGCCATGTCAAGGCGGACATACCACTTAAAACGGATTACATGGTATAAGTAGTAGTTGTGTTTTAGATAGTAAGCTTATTGTTAATATCTCTCAGGAAAGCTATTTCCTGTAAATTGGTCGGGACATCACATTATATTAATGGAAAAACATTAGGTTATTGTTTGTAGGATATTTCAATAGTAATTAAAAAACATGACTACCCTTTCAGAATCAGGTAAGCAAAACTATTATTTATCATAATGGTATTTGAGTTTACAAAATATGGTGTACCTGACCCCAAGGGTCGACTTGGTATAGATTAATGGTCACGTTGACTTCTCCTATCCGGCAGTAGAACCATTAAATCAGATGCCCCCTGTAAGGACAGTGTCACACTCTCATTCCGCTGACGAACCTTGCAACAACGTTTGGTTGGTCTGTTTGTGACCTGTTGAATACCAATGTAATACCCCTATCCAACCAGCCCTCTTTTCCCGGTTTTATTTCAAAGTCCATCCAGGGCCTCGGTGGTCAATTAATCTTAGTAGCTCATCTACAGTTATCTCTAGCCTGCTCGTTGCAGGTGCGTTCGACACCAATTTTAACTGACTAGGATTACCAGTTTTCCTACCCAAGATCGGTGGTTATCTCCTTGTACTCCAGCTTCCTCTGCCGAAAAAACTGGACGCCGCGATATAGCCAACAGTGTTGGATGTTGCTTTAAACACAAACAATCAATCAATCAATCACAATCAAACTTTTATTCACTTTGCAGAACCTATCTATCACATGCATACATATGTATGAATTAGTTGCCACTGCGTGTTAATAAATGAAGATCTATTAACCATCATTTACATAAATATATATATATATCGTGTTGTAATGTCAACACATCATTAAAAGCTTTGAATACATTTTATCGATTTCAACAGAAAAGACAGAAGAGCATGGAAGTAATTTTCTATTTTAGGTTTGTTTGTATACTTTCAAACGTCTCTCTTGGATAGTGGTAGAGCAACAAATTAAACACAAATATTCTATTTAGTTCGTCTTTACATCATCTTAAATGTTTAACATTTAAATAAATCTTTATTCAAAAACGAAATAATTAAAATGCTAAATAAGAAATTGACGAAAATGTATCTAGATTGTTGCGTATTTTTTCAGAACAGGAAAAGCGTCAAAAGACCATGTTCATCAACAGAGTACTGCGAGCTATACATGTAAAGCTGTTAACGAAAAAGGTATGGAAGTTGTATACCGGTGTTTCCAAAAGACATGCCTATATTCAACTGTATACATTAAACCCTGATGTTTTACATTCATAAGTCTGTGACTGCGAATGTTTTAAAATGTTAAAAAAAATATTTTAATACATGAATATAAGTGAAAAATATTTAATGGAAAAAAGAGAAATACTATACATTTCGGACTAACCTTTTAACCGTGTTAGATCGCAACCAGTTTTAATAATAGAAAACGGTGACCACCAGAAATACTGGGGCATCAGCTGTAAAGGACATTGCTGTTTTCAACAAAACGAAATATGATGAAATATAAGAACGAGTTCTTTCAACAATATTTATATATTTATGAAAAAGTCATATATAAAATTGCTGTTTAGTTCGAGTCTTGATTTAGTATAAACAAAATATATATTTTATTCAGAAAATTGTTATTTACAAAATTCCGTTTCATCTCTAACAATTAGACAACAAGTGGATAATCAGTCACAAATTCCTCTCCCTTTTGTTGATATGTAATTTATCAGAATATTGAGAATGTTAATATAAGTCATTCCTGTAACATTCGTATTTACAACAAGAAGTAATTAAATGTAATGGTATATCCTGCTTGACCTTAAAATAAGTTAAAATTGCTGAAAGACACTCCGCTCCTAATTCATCGAAATCTATTATAGTTTCCATTAACCATTATATCTTGGTGTAATTTATATACAACCAATTGAGCGAACTCCCTCATGGATGTATTTAAAAATAAATGTTTATAGATTGATACAGAGACAAACCGGCCTTGGGCAATACAAATTGATAGTGATCTTTACTATTATGTTGTGATTACGATCGCTTACAGTTGTGTTAAATATAGATTATAAATCTCCTACAAATAAATGTAGTTATGATGAAAAGCATGCCTTCAAGCACTTGATATAAAGATAAGAAGATGTGGTATATGATTGCCAGTGAGACATCAGACACAGAATGACGTAAAAGTTAACACTTATATGTCACCGTCAGATTATTTCATAATTAAGGATGTTAACTTGTAGCTAATCGAAATTTTAGGATATATATATATAGATTTCTTTAACTTTACAGTATATGGTTCGAATAATTTTTAAAATAACAAAAAGAAGAGGTCGAGGCCGAACCAACTGCTATAACCACAGGCACTTGTCTCAGAAAAATTTTTTCCTATATACCTTAATATTAAGGTAAAAAGGAAATTTTTTTTCTGAGACAAGTGCCTGTGTTATTTTAAGGTATGTAGGGGGGAAAAATTCTGAGACAAGTGCCTGTGACTGTAACATGAGTAAAGTGGTTTATTTTCGCGGAGTTTAATTTTCCCAATTTCTAGGTCCAAAACTTGTTCGCGACTTTTTTTTTGGGGTTTTTTTTTTGGCGTTTTCTGGTCCTTGATTCGAATATTCCTTCAAAGTCAAATAACGCCACGGGGTATTCTATTATCCTCATCTCGAAATTAGCAGAAAAAAACGACGTGACAATTTTTCATAGTACAGTTTGTTGAAGAGGAAATCAGACAATTGAATGCAATAGAACAATTATACACGACCAAGACTAATACAAAGCACCAAGACAAATGCACGGAACATGCAAAATATTTATCAACAAGAAAAATTCAAAAAACCAGTACAAACGCTCATCAAAAACCTTAAGTTTTATCGGATTCTCAGAAAGAGTATTCTTATTCTGCTTCATATTCAAATCTTCTCAAATTGTCGAAGCATCAAGATGGTAAGGGTAACGAATGGTTAGATAACGCTAGGAAATATGACATTACGATCAGCTTATTCATGTGATGTAATTCGTACAATGTACCTCCATTGTGATTCCACGTGATCTGTAAAACTTAAAAGCGCATGTATAGATAGACCAAGCAAAGCAATAGGAGGAGGATGTTCTTATAATATCAAAATATAGTATTGATACATTTCCAAATAGTTCTTGGTTCTTGACAGTTTTTGTGTATATATTATATGAATTATGCACTGCGCAATTATTTTAACTGAAGAAAGGTTTACTAACTTACATATTTACAAGAAACTACACTGTCTTCTACATTTTAGGGAAAAGAAATTTTGGAAACAGAGTCTAGTTTGAAAAGTAAGAACAAAATGGGTAGGCAATGGCCAAAGTGTCTCCTATTATTCAATAACATTTATTTTTATGAAATTTCATTTTTCCCTTTTTTCATAAGAACTACATATAATACAAGAACCTATTACTAATTTGAAAAACCATTGCAACATAAATAACGATATTGTTCAATAAGCTTTGAATCTTTTGTTGTAAAGTTTGACTCTTGTGAGAAACAGTGTGGAGTTATTTCTCTCCGTGCAATAATTATATTATATTTGTAGCCATTATATGAAAGCTCTATACATATATATATATATATATATAAATATATATTCATATCACCGATGGCGATAGTGTAATTGTAATACAAAATTTTATGACGATATAAATATAAAATGATCAAACCTAATAGTACGCAATTTTTATTGCATTATTTAATTATATTTTTATTTTCTGTGGTTTTTTTTTAATTTTTCTAGGGGGAGGGGGTACTCAATGTACTTTACTGGTGTGTGTCCCACGTCTCGTTTTATAAATAATTTAAGTTCTCTGTTGCATTTTTCAGACAGAACAGCCTCCTCATCATCAAAATTTGATTTTGACGAATGCTGCTTAGATATAATCGATTTGAATGACGAAGATACGACTTGTCTATCTGGTGGTCAGTTAGTATTTATAGATGCTGATGGAGAAGAGGATACACACTATTTCGATGAAAGTCCAAAAGAAGTAAACGATAAGGAGGAGAAGGACAAAACCTGTATTTCCTGAGAACAAATACAATACCATGTTAAAGACGCGTTACAGGTGTCTTTCAAAGACGAATATACTATACAGGTGAATGATTGGAAAATATAAATTTAATATGGAATTGCGATGTGATATAATCTTCAATTCTAGCTTACCCCTTAAATGTGGTAGTCTGACAGCGATGAGCAGCATATAACCCTGCTAAGCCACAAGAAAACGCCAAAAGTATCAGCAAGAACATGCCGCATAATTTCATTAGGTCTGTGAATGTTCGGTAAAATGATACTAAAATGGTTCCGAATGTTTCATTGGCAGGCATGATAAAGGAAATTCTCGATATACTCAGTATTATTCCAAAGGAGAACAGTATATCAGAGATTAGCTCGGGATCTGGTATCCATGATGGTTCCCAAGATACTGTAAATATAATAAACATATAAGCGGTTGTGTACATGGTTATAAAATGATGAACATGTTTTATATTGTTCGTTCGTTTTCTCTTTGAATTGTTTTAGTACATTTTGTTTCTGTTGGATAGTTGTCATATTGACATTCATACCACATCTTCCTGTTTATAAATTACTTTATTATAATAATACGCTACTAACTCATACCGTTAATATATTTACTATGTAACAAGTTAATCGGCGTTAAGCGGCATACTACACGTATCAAGCAATCACAAGCAATCATATCAAAAACTTAAATGTCTGGGTGACTTCTTTTTTGAAGTTTTATTTAGGTTAGCTTATGCCAAGGTGCTCGAGGCAAAGACTCTTTTTTTATTACTTTATGTCTTACAGACATAGTGTCAATTATATATTTCGTATACCAACACAACCTTACATTTATACATAAAAGTATAGTAATATGTATATGTGCCTACCCGGTATATCAATTTTCATCTCGTAGGAAAAAACTAATAGAGGGATCGCACAATTAACGGTTTTCAATCTAAAAAAAATCTCTATTGATATGTTTAATCGTGGAAAATTAGCTGAAATAAAACGAAATTTTATTGAAAATATCTACAACACAGAAACTATTAACACAGGTTCTATTGCAAAAATTGACCTGTGAACATTACTACATGCATCTGAACATATGCTTCAGATATGATTTATATTTATTGTAAAGCAACATACTATTTTCGACAGAACTTAACGAAAAGTAAGCGTACAATATTCATTAATATTCAAGCAATAACCCTATAATATTTATATTCATATCATCATGTATATAATATAATGATCATATTTAATACATTTTGTAAGATTTCAATAAAACTATAAAACTGATTAATTTATCAAAACACTATTAATTTGGCGTTTTCTTTGATGAATAATTTTAACAGGGATGGAACATAGACTTTATATGCAGTAGCCGATGCAGCTTTGTATTCACAGTAGCTAGCAATTAAATTATTGAGACATATACAAAAAAGAGTTACAATCTCAGCTAGATTTTGGGGATTGTGGGCTACTGAACTAGTTTCCATCTCTGAATACAAACCTCCTACGGAGTATGAAACAGATGGACATACATCAGCTTCATCAACTTCAGACGTTACGTAGCAATGGAGGAGAGTAGACAGGTTAACTTGTTCTCCTGTTACATTCAGAGAAAGTGGGTTTGTAGTAAACGCATCCGCAACTTTGATTGGCACAACTATGTCTAAGGTGAAGGACGCTAGAAGGAACATTAGCATTAACGAATCTATAATATTCCAAACTGATCCGGCATAATCTTCTATTCCAGAGGACCATACTTGTTTCATTTCTTCCCAGATCCAACCTTCAAAACAATTAAGTCTATAAATGGTTACTCAAGTTACAAAGGTAATTTTTTTCGACCTCGCACGTACATGCTTTTCTAAAGTGTTAGTATAGAGTTTAAGCTCCTTCATTATTTATCTTTTATTTATATATACTAGTAAACTGAAAGGAAATGAATTTGCAAAATTTCATGCATTTACAGGTTCGTAACAAACAAACAAAAAAAACCCATTGTTTTCGTTGTATGTAAAAACGATATCGCAAAATTAAAATGTCTTTATTGTGTATCTTTCATGTTTGTGTTGAACGACAATTCGAAATAAACCACACACACAGGGAATAGTATACAAAAGTAGTCTTCGTTGAAGACCCATTGGTGGCCTTCGGCTGTTATCTGCTCTTTGGCCGGGTTTTTGTCTCTTTGACATATTTCCCGTTTCCATTCTCAATTTTATTCTAGATACAACTTGATTCAAATTGATTACCGATGTTTTGTGTTGCTCTGAAAAAGCTTTTAGTATATTACTTAGACAAAAATCAAATTCTTGTACACTTCAATAATTTCCTATGTTTACCCTTTGATTGAAACAAAAAGAGGGTAATTTGCCCTACCTCAAATCTAAAATTTCAAAGTATGACATTGTATTAATCTCACCTAGAATCCAAGCAAATATCAGCACTATAAGAATATAGGCAGAGGTTGGTGTATCATCGCATGCTAATGAAATCCACATGTCGCTATAATGTAATTTGGCGACCACGGTCAGGAAGAGAAAAGACAAATATGAACATGTATAGCTTAGGAATCTTGTCGATGGAGTATTTAACAGAACTGTTACCTAAAATATAAAAAAAAAATAACATGAGTATATCATTTGCTTCATTACTAGAGCACAAACTTGGTTTGGTAATGATTTGCTCACTTAAACCACACCCCTTGTAAATTTAAGATTTTTTTACTTCTTCTGGAAACACCAACTTATGAACTTTGATATCAACTTTCGCCAAAGTCAAGGCATAGTATTTGGATGAGCAATGAAAACTAAAAAAAAAATAACAATTATAAACTATCAATAATGCATTTTTGGATAAGTCGACTCTTAATAACAAAAAACATAACCCCAAATACGTATAGACATTTATGTTGACTGTAAAAGAACTGTTAGATTCGAACTTTTACCTGTACTAGCTAGTAATACTGGCTTGATGATACAGATATAGAATGCTTGCAGGTAAAAGTACATTTCGTCTGTTGTTGGTAAAAATCAATTTTCAAACATTTTCAGCTTTATGAACAAGTTTTTTAAAAGTTTTTACTTGGAAGAAGCGATAACTTAAGAAGTAAATCCCATAAAACATACAAGACATTGACATATACGCGGCATTATTTCATATCAAACATTTATTTTTCATTTCTGCTAATCAGTCATGCTTCAAAAGGGATATTCAATCTCAAAAACAAACTGACAATGCCATGGCAAAAAAAACAGGAAACGATAAAAAAACAAATAACAGTATACAAAACACAACATAGACAACTAAAGAAAAGACTGAGGAACACGAACCCCACAAAAAACCGGGGATGATCTCAGGAGCTGCATATGTGGCACCCGTCGTGTTACTCGTGTAACTACAAACCCGGTGATAAGTCTAATTCGGTAGACACTTCGAGGAAAAGAGGACTCGTGATAGCGTCCGTAAAATTTTCGAATGGATGATTTCAACTTTACCACTTGGAACTCTTGGTTTGATAGCTTCCTTGTAAGCAGCAACACTCTATCAAGGAAATCATGATAGGAAATGCTAGGGCTGTAATATCAACTGGGAGATATATACTCCATATGCAGGCCCTGCTGGAACGTTGCTTCATAGGAATAGAAATTTCGCAATCGGAAAGTTGAAATCATCTCTTTTGCCGTCAAGTTTTGTTCTCAACCGACCCTCGTTGTCAATTTCTAGATGTAAATCAAGATATGAGGCAGACTAAACTGCATCTGTTTTATCTTTAATTTCAAGTTCGATTGGATAGTGGGATAGGTGTACTACAACATATACATCAAACTTTGAATTATGTAGTGAGAGGACATCATCTATAGCGGAACGTTAAAAGTGGAAAAACTATTTTCTATTTATTAAGTCAAGTTTAGGTTTTAAAAAATGTCTACTTCATAAAATTAACGTAACAGTATATACAATTGGAACATAATTCTTATAAGAAACCGAACGTGGCAAACACCACTGCATTGGACACTGATTTTACGCTGGTAAAAATAAAAATAAAATGTATGTCGCCAGTTAAAACTCTTCTTACCAAAAAAAGTTAAAGCTCCACTTTGGAATTGTTTTCCAAAAAAATGATTGTAAAAATGCAATGAGGCCTTTTTACAAAAATTTACACGAATGAAGGATATATAATATAAAAATCAATGAACCGCGATCCAACAATACAAGTTAACCATAAACATTTCTAGATAATACTTACTTTACTCCATGGTGCAACTATATACACGACTGATAAAATAGGCAGTATTACCATACCAACCGGGATGGACAGCAATAAATACTGGAATCTATTCAGATACCTCATTGCCTGTAAACCTTTGAACCATATCTCAGAAACTTGTGCTTGACACTTCTCGTGTGCTACAAACTGAACAAAAAGAAATGCATTATTTGTTTCGTTCCGTACAAGTTTTGATGTTTAATATCAAAACAGTATTTCTCTTCATGTTTGTTCTTGCTGTGACCATTACCTGTATCAAATGATCACAAGATTATGGAGGGTGGTAAAGGGGGGGTGCTTGCACGGAAAAAACGTGAAATAAGACATAATTTCACGTTGAACGTGAAATAATTTCTGTCATGAACGTTGCACGAAAAATAAAAACTTTGATGTGAACCTTTTGTGACTGAGTCACTGTCTTCTTGTATATATAAACTCTCTGTTTTACTTGTTATTCCTGATTTAGTATACACATTTATGATATAAATGGTTTACGGCTTTTAAAAAAGTATTTCTTGACGATCCCTGCCAAGTGTTTGAATTTTATTTGAAAAATACCGAGCACGCAAAATAAGCATTTGAAAATCACGATGCACGTAAAATTAAATAAGCAGAACACGTTGAACGAGGCACCTGTCTTGCACGACTGAACGTCAAATAAAAAAGTAAAAACACGTTGAACGTGAAATAAAAAACGGCGATCACGTTGCACGAAAATAACCCTTTACCACCCTCATTATGTTGATAATGGTACGCATCTAAAGATTGTTATGCTATTAAAAATAGAAAGCCATAAAGTCAAAACTGATTAATTGATAGGTATTTGCTCAACAAGAATTCAATAGTTAGGTTTTGAATAAAACAAAGTGCGTCGCCTATGAATTTAGACTGTCACTGGGGAATCAAGATGTTGGATAGAGGCAACATGTTTGCCTCTATCACATTCTGACAATTTATACATTCAACACAGCCAAACGGACTCCCCTATTCTGCATTGATTTTACTTGAAGATGGAAGAAGTCCAGGTAACCATGTTTCTATATCCCAGTCAACCCTTTGGTTGCTATTGTCAAAGAAATAAGAGGCTCTCAAGAGCCTGAATCGCTCACCTGTATTTCAGAGGAGAAGATTTTTAAATGTTAGCAAACTTGATAAACAAATTGTGTAAAATTGTCTTTAAAGGGCAATAACTCCTTAAGGGGTCAATTGACAATTATGGTCATATTAACTTTTTTGTAGATCTTACTTTGCTGAACATTATTGCTGCTTACAGTATATATATCTATAATAATATTCAAAATAATAACAAAAAACTGCAAAATTTTGTTAAAACTACCAATTCGGTGGCAATTTGTGTTGTTCGATTCGTCTGAAAATTTCAGAGCTGATAGATTTTGACCAACTGAACAATTTCCCCCATGTCAGATTTGCTCTAAAAGCTTTAGTTTTTGAGATATAAGCCAAAAACTGCATTTGACCCCTATGTTCTATTTTTAGCCATGGCGGCCATGTTTGTCGATGGATCAAAACTTCGGATACAATTTATAAACTAGATACCCTAAGGAACATTTAGTTAAAGTTTGAAGCTATTTGGCCCAGTAGTTTCAGAGGAGAAGATTTTTGAAATAATTTACGACGACGACAGACGACGGCCGACGACGTACGCCAAGTGATGGCATAAGCTCACATGGGGCCGCCCGAAGAGCTAAAAAGGGAATTTAACCAGTTAAACTATGGACGATGCTCCCTTCTGCTCTCACATATGCATGAGTATAGTCCACATACTTTGGATTTGACAAACCGTAATGTTGAAGTACAACTTGAAATTGTCTGTGAGACACAAATGATGCCCCCGCCTGACCATAAGAAATTATAAATTTAACACAATGTATGATAATCTGTCTTTTTTTTTTATTCTGAATGTCTACACTTGTAGGACTGAATGTCCAGCCAAAAGGTTTCAACTTTCCAGTTTAAGTAGTCACCAAGTTCAACTTTCTATTTCCAGTGGTCACCAAGTTCAACTTCCCGGTATTGATTAGATATTTGACATTACTAAAAAAATCTTATTTATTGCATAAGGGACATTAAACTACAGTAGTACAAACCATGTTTTCAATTATATAGCAAGTAAGAAGAAAATGAAGTCCAAATACCGGTTTTTGTGAATATCTAAATCCCAACTCCTTTCTGACTTTTAGTACAAAAATACTCGGCATTTTGAGAATATTTGAAAAAAAAATTAAAACTCTATGGACATGCACACCTCTAATATGTGTAGAAACATCCTACAAAATATTAAAGCTGAAGCTCAAAAACTGTTGGATTAGATAGCCGGAAAAACCATGTATCTAATTCAAATTATATATAAAATCTATATAATTCAATATGCCCCTCGATATTTTGTCGCGGGGGCATAAAAAGAGGGCAAGTGTGTTGATTAGGACAAGAAACACAATCCGGTGAAATGTCGTACTCGGTGATGTCATAAATAAGAAAGAGGACATGGTTGCTAGAATTAGGAAACAATTGCGTGTTTGCTTAAATCGATGGAGAATCGTTAAAACTAATTTTTCACCCCGCCACATTTTATATTTGCATGTCTCAAGTCTGTTATTGAGTGGTTTTCGTTTGTTGTTGTTTTTTATATTTGTTTTTCGTTTATTGTTGTGTACAGTTTGTTCATGTGTTGTTCTGTAACACCACTGGACCAGGTTTAGGGGCGGGTTGCGCACCTGCCAACATGTCCAACCCCGCCACACCCTGTATGTGCCTGTCCTAAGTCTGGAGTCTGTAATTCAGTGGTAGTCGTTTGTTGCTGAATATAACATATTTGGTTTTACATTTATTTTTTTGTACACAAATCAAGTCGTTAGTTTTCACGTTTGAATTGATTTACATTTGTTGTTTAGAGGTCTTTTATCGCTTGTTATGCGGTATGGGTATTGCTCATTGTTGAAGGCCGTACGGTGACCTATAGTTTCTTATTTTTACACCATTTAGTATCTGGTGGAGAGTTGTCTCGTTGGCAATCATACCATATCTTCTTTCGAAAATAGATATGACTCTCGAACATATACTTATATATGATTTTTTTTTTAGCATTTTTGCGCCTGTCCCAAGTCAGGAGCCTCTGGCCATTGTTAGTCTTGTATCATTTTTAATTTTAGTTTCTTGTGTATAATTTGGAGTTTAGTATGACGTCCATTATCACTGAACTAGTATATTTGTTTAGGGGCCAGCTGAAGGACGCCTCCGGGTGCGGGAGTTTTTCGCTGCATTGAAGACCCATTGGTAGCCTTCGGCTGTTGTCTGCTCTATGGTCGGGTTGTTGTCTCTTTGAGACATTCCCCATTTCCATTCTCAATTTTATTGCTTGTTGACAAACTGCGTGAAATAAAAACCAGTGCAATACCGTGAATTATATCTACCTGTTTTTGTTCCATTTGCATTGCTGTCAAAAGCAAAGGAAAGGCCTCGCTGATGTAAGGTATCTCGGTCTTCGCTTCTATTTTACTCTTTACCGGAGAAGATAGCAAAACTTTCACCTCTTCCGATGATCTGCATTCGTCTAGTAAGTCTAGAGTGAACTGTTCACATTGATTACCAAGTTCGTCGTAGATTTGCTACAGCAATAAATAATTTATTTATTTATCTTTCTGATATCCGAATAGGCTTTATGACAAAATGCAATTTATTACACATAAAAACAATTGTATGTCTCACGGTCTAAAACAATGGACAGATGATCTACGCAATGTGTCAATTTCTAAACTGTCCGGACCATAAAAGAGACTATCAAAGATCTAACATCAAAGCCAAATTTCATGAAATATCTCGAAGAACCCATTTAATTATGGCAAAAGAGATTCCGCAATTGGGATAACCTGATATGAATATGTGTCGAGATAAATCTAGTTTTTGTAGATCTATATACATATACTGTACGTCTTGAATCCGACCAAAAATGTTAGAACTGCATTTATATATATAACTATTCTGCCTTAATCGCAACTAGACTTGTAATTCATTTTCTCGTGTGTACAGTAAATAGGGAATAAAGAAGAAACCTACAGAAACTGCAAAATGAAATTCAACGCCCCCCCCCCCCCCCACAAAACACAATTTGTATATATAAATATACATGGCATGAAGCGAACAAAAAAATAAAAAAACATACCAATATTTTTTATAAATAATGTATTAAAGTTTTTATAAATGCAATCGAAGTCATTATTCGCGCAACACAAACATGGAAAAAATAAATTTGTTTAGTTATTCATACTTAATTTAATGCATGTTTTTTTATAAATACCACAATTATGAATTGTTACCTGATATTCAGTTTCAATTTGCTTTTGGTGTCGGAACTTTTTACTTAACTGAAAACAGGCAAGAACAGGATCTTCCTCTGTAAGACTTATATACGCAGGACTTGCTAAAGCTCTAAATGTATCTAATCGACGGTTACAGAATCCCAAGTAATCATTATGTCTGTCACCAATACAATGCTTGCACGAACAAAAGTAGTCATGGGGAATTTCTAAGCAGATTCCTTTTAACATTATAATCTGCACGATTTGGAAATTGTTTTTAATCGACGCTCGCATCAGTGCCTCCTTTAACATCATTCGTACTTTTGATTTAGTGCTTTTTTGGCGCATGTTTTTCGTCGCGCCGTCTTCTGTGATGGAGACTAAGTTTAACTGTTCACTCGCCTGTCGATTGGTCGATGTTAAATCGTACAATGAATTTTTCAACAACAATTCGCAAATTTGTGTCCTCTGTTGTTCAACTGCACAAAGCAGTCCTTGATGAATTAACTTATCCGAAACTTTTGTAATCAGATACGAAGTAAGGCCTTCGTCCTCAGCAATAATAGCTAGATCTAAGGCACTTCTCCCCTGAAAATCTAACACCTCAGCACTTGCTTCACTGCGGTCTATCAACTGTTTCACAATTTCTTCATCTCCAAGTTCTGATGCTGACAAAAGTTGTCTTTCATTCTCGTTCAGTCCTGGTTGGAGTCGTTCTGCTAAAACTTTCACCATGTTTTTATCTTCTTTATTATTCTTGTCCATTATATTTAAAGTGGCTTAGCTATTTTCCTCTGTCATCGTGACATTAACCTCATTAGATTCGAACAATATTATCCTATCCTTCAATAAAATGTCATTTCACGTCATCTGTTGGAAGGCACAATTTTCATCTAATTTGCATCTTTACAATTTATTCAAAATTACAATGATAGTAACAGATACTTATTGTATCATGTTCCTAGTGATCTATTATACAACTCATTTATTATCGTATGTATCTGTCGATATTTGAACATGTGTTTTAAGGTTATTTAACTATGAACAAAATAAAAAATTGATTTTGCATCTAATCTATTGTTGAATGAATCGCACCTTTAAAAATAAAATGCGGATAAGATGAGTCCTATGTATATTTACATAAATCATTAAGATGTATATACATTTTATATCATATGGCATTTTGATATGAACAATTATTTTTTTTTATTTCAAAATTCATTTATTAACTTCTTCCTATACCTGTAAGCATGTAAAACATATACTCCTATAATAGTCGTGCGAATTAATGACCAGCGTTTATAATATGGTAGTTCGGCTATACAAAGGAAGAATTAAAAAAAAAAATTGTAGGTCATTAAAAGTTGATTTTCCTCCCTGTCCCTTTTTTGGCGAAACGTTTGAAACAAAACGTTTAGGATCGTAGTTGTCTATAAAAATAAGCTTATAGACAACAATAGTACATAAACAACAAAATTGGTATTTAAACTATATGAATAAGTATAGTATACATTTTGACAAATCTTGAAATTGCTGCACAAAGGTAAATAACCAAAGGTTTCCAAGAATTTAACAGTTGATCATAACTTATTTAAAATCAAATTGTATTTCTTATTCTCTCTATCCCCTCCCCTTCCCCATGTTACCTGTTCGTTGTTCCCATGACATGTAATTTCTCGAAGCACCTAATATAAGTCAAAATAGTGGGATCAACTCAAAAGTTCAATTGAACCAAAATTTTGATATTTCACGGATGTCAAGTTGGTTCAATATTCAACATTCAACATTCAACATTCAAATTTGTTTTTTTTTTTTTTTTTAGGGTACCATTCATTTTCAACATTCAACATTCGATATCAACAATTAACATTCAAATTTTTTTTTTTGTTAAACTTTTTTTTCAATTTGTTGTTTTTTTTTTTTTTTCAACATTCGTTTTCAACATTCAACATTCGTTTTCAACATTTGATTTTCAACATTCATCATTCGTTTTCAACATTCAACATTCGATTTTCAACTTTCAACATTCGTTTTCAATATTCAACATTCGTTTTCAACATTCAAAATTGAATTTTTTTTTTTGTTAAACTTTTTTTTCAATTTTTTTTTTTCAACATTCGTTTTCAACATTCAACATTCGTTTTCAACCATTCGATTTTCAACTTTCAACATTCGTTTTCAACATTCAACATTCGTTTTCAACATTCAACATTCGTTTTCAACATTCGATTTTCAACTTTCAACATTCAACATTCGTTTTCAACATTCGTTTTCAACATTCGTTTTCAACATTCGATTTTCAACATTCAACATTCGTTTTCAACATTCGTTGAGCTGATGTTTAGACGAAAAAGTTTAACAAAAAAAAATTTTGAATGTTGAATGTTGAAAACGAATGTTGAATGTTGAAAACGAATGTTGAAAGTTGAAAACGAATGTTGAAAACGAATTTTGAATGTTGAAATCGAATGTTTAAAAAAAAAAAAAAAAAAAAAATTGAAAAAAAAGTTTAACAAAAAAAAATTTTGAATGTTGAATGTTGAAAACGAATGTTTAATGTTGAAAACAAATGTTGAAAGATAAAAATCGAATGTCGAATGTTGAAAACGAATGTTGAATGTTGAAAACGAATGTTGAAAGTTGAAAATTAAATGTTGAAAACGAATGTTGAATGTTGAAAACGAATGTTGAAAGTTGAAAATCGAATGTTGAAAACGAATGTTGAATGTTGATAACGAATGTTGAATGTTGAAAATCGAATGTTGAAAACGAATGTTGAATGTTGAAAACGAATGTTGAAAGTTGAAAATCAAATGTTGAAAACGAATGTTGAATGTTGATAACGAATGTTGAATGTTGAAAACGAATGTTGAAAGTTGAAAATCGAATGTTGAAAACGAATGTTGAATGTTGATAACGAATGTTGAATGTTGAAAATCGAATGTTGAAAACGAATGGTGAATGTTGAAAACGAATGGTGAATGTTGAAAACGAATGTTGAATGTTGAAAACGAATGTTGAAAAAAAAAAGATTGAAAAAAAAGTTTAACAAAAAAAATATTGAATGTTGAATGTTGAAAACGAATGTTAAATGTTGAAAATCGAATGTTGAAAACGAATGTTGAATGTTGAAAACGAATGTTGAAAGTAGAAAATCGAATATTGAAAACGAATGTTGAATGTTGAAAAAAAAAAAAAAAAAATTGAAAAAAAAGTTTAACAAAAAAATAATTTTTGAATGTTGAACGTTGAAATCGAAAGTTGAATGTTGAAAATGAATAGTACCAAAAAAAAACAAAAAAACAAAAAAAAAACAAAAAAATGAATGTTGAATGTTGAATATTGAACCAACTTGACATCCGTTAATATTTCAGCCTTGTATAAAAAAAAAAGACATATTTTAGATTTACATTGAATGTATTAGTTGCCTTAAAGTTAATGTTGAAAACGAATTTTGAATGTTGAAATCGAATGTTGAAAAAAAAACAAACAAAAATTGAAAAAAAAGTTTAACAAAAAAAAATTTTGAATGTTGAATGTTGAAAACGAATGTTTAATGTTGAAAACAAATGTTGAAAGATGAAAATCGAATGTTGAATGTTGAAAACGAATGTTGAATGTTGAAAACGAATGTTGAAAGTTGAAAATCAAATGTTGAAAACGAATGTTGAATGTTGAAAACGAATGTTGAATGTTGAAACGAATGTTGAAAGTTGAAAATCGAATGTTGAAAACGAATGTTGAATGTTGATAACGAATGTTGAATGTTGAAAATCGAATGTTGAAAACGAATGTTGAATGTTGAAAACGAATGTTGAAAGTTGAAAATCAAATGTTGAAAACGAATGTTGAATGTTGATAACGAATGTTGAATGTTGAAAACGAATGTTGAAAGTTGAAAATCGAATGTTGAAAACGAATGTTGAATGTTGATAACGAATGTTGAATGTTGAAAATCGAATGTTGAAAACGAATGGTGAATGTTGAAAACGAATGGTGAATGTTGAAAACGAATGTTGAATGTTGAAAACGAATGTTGAAAAAAAAAAGATTGAAAAAAAAGTTTAACAAAAAAAATATTGAATGTTGAATGTTGAAAACGAATGTTAAATGTTGAAAATCGAATGTTGAAAACGAATGTTGAATGTTGAAAACGAATGTTGAAAGTAGAAAATCGAATATTGAAAACGAATGTTGAATGTTGAAAAAAAAAAAAAAATTGAAAAAAAAGTTTAACAAAAAAATAATTTTTGAATGTTGAACGTTGAAATCGAAAGTTGAATGTTGAAAATGAATAGTACCAAAAAAAAAAACAAAAAAAACAAAAAAAAAAACAAAAAAATGAATGTTGAATGTTGAATATTGAACCAACTTGACATCCGTTAATATTTCAGCCTTGTATAAAAAAAAAGACATATTTTAGATTTACATTGAATGTATTAGTTGCCTTAAAGTTAACCTACTTCGGATCATCTAGCTCTGACATCAATGAAAAAGCTGCTGCGGTTGTATATAAATTATGAGACTACTATAATATTGTGTTATAGTAGTCTCAGATATAATCCCTCATAAATATCGACCTTCATAGGGAAAAAAATCATTTTTTTATTTACCTTCTTTTGATATTAGTCATCTTTACTTTTCGTAAATAAAGAGCCTATAATAGTTCAATTTGTCATGTCATCTGAGTAAATTGAATATTTTCACATGACAAACCTTTATGACATAGTATGATTTACTTATTTAACCGAGCCATATTGCCCATACAATCATAGAAGTTTGAGAAATAAAAATCCAGATTTATCAATTCTATAGAATATTGTATGTTGTACAATTATTGTTCCGTATTCTTCTATAACGTATAACATCCATTGAAAACATACAAAAAAATAACTTATGAACACAAGTTGAAGACAGAAGCAAACAAGTTGTATTCGATCAAAATTTAAACTCAGAAGAGCAGGAACAAATCAACAGTAAGTATAGGTTCTGCAAAAATCTTTTGATTGGAAACAAACTGGCACAGTTTGGCTGTGCATGATGTATAAATGCACAGCCCACGGCCACGTCTTGTCGGAATGGGGACATTAAATACGATGTCTCGTGTAGAGAAAGTGCAAATCTTTTTTGTGTCCGTAAGTGACCTGCTGCAAAGCAAGATTTTTTAACCCTCATCTTACATTCCCTCCTTTTCAGATAAGTCTAAATTCCAGTCCTTCACACTGGTGGACCTATTCAGAGGTATATGTATCTGGTCTACTCTGCAAAACGTATCCATCAGAATCTATTGGATTAATGTCATTTTGTTTTAGTCCTTAATTTGCATGAAATATTTGCCGATGGACGTTAAACAGAATCAATCAATAAAATATGTATAAAGGTCGACATTTTGCTTTTATGAAGTTTGAAACTCTTAAGCGACAACGGTTACGTTCTTGGATTATCCACTTCCAAAATCCCATCGCAGTCAGACTCTTTTAACAACGCTGAGGCATTTACTCCAAAGTCTCAAATCGTTTGTCTCACTAGAAATGAGGGTCAAACTATGCTAATGTGTGTCCTTAAATACTAGTAAACCACTCGTGTACGGATGGAATGATTTTAATTTTTAGTAGGTTTAGATAATGTTTCCTCGTGTTTGCTACTCATTTGTCCAGACACTAGGTAAGCTGTACCATATATGTACTTATACCAACGATCTTAAAATCATCAGGTAACCAGAATATCAATTAATATTGAATTGTACAGCTTAAGCATTTTTAGATATGCATGTTGCAAAGCAACTATTTTTTTTTTGCCAATTCTTACAATTTCTCAATATACACCCAACGTTCAAGATTTTTTATAACATTCTAATTGTTTGCATGGAATGGCGTGAAA